TCTTCTACAGTCTCCCAAATAGAAGACATCTTTTCGTTTTAAAGCATAAATTTCGCTACAGGTCATTTTTTACCCGACCCCCCCCCCCTTTATCTTCTCCTTCCCGCAGCAACTCGCATAAGAAAATCTGTGATCGACTTAAATCTTTCAGGCCTTCCAAGCTGTAACAACTTTCATCTGCACTCACCTTCACATCAGGGAGTAACAGGGGCAGTCTCTTGTAGTCTTTTCGTTCTTTCAGCGATTCCTTATTAGGAACAAACCAAACAGCGGTCGGCAAACTTGTGGCTTCCTCTTCTGAAATTCTATCTAATAAATTTCCTAGCGAACAAAAATAAACACAAATATAGTAATTAAATAAACAAAAATGAGCTTCATACAGTGGGGGGCATAAAAAGTCACTGTTCTGCATGTTTGAAGCGGAATTAAGATGCTAGATTCAAACCAAAGGATCCCAACCGCAAGTTGACAGATCACGGGCCATAACGACTTTATCTGGAGAGCTAGTCAGAAAGGGTTTTGCATATTCAGAGCTAGTTTCTAAGAAGCTATTCATCAGTTAACCGATTGAAGAAATTATGTAGCAGCTTCAGGCTGGAGCGATTACGGTAGGCCTCCTTGAGCTCAACGGTGACGGCAGATGTTGTCATTTTCTAAGGCCGTGAGAGTACTTCCCAGCCGAATTTGAAACCAGAAAGGCAACCCGGAAGGATGAAACACTACGCCATCTCTGCCTTTTATCGTTACTATATTTCAGCCGAAAGTAAACCAAAGAATACCTAGGAGTTCGTGAACATCCTTTTCTTCAATCTCTTCCAGATCATCCACGTATGAAAGCGCTTCTTCCACGAGCTCTTTTGGATCCAATGAGCTCATCACCTGTAAACGCTTGAGTATGGAACTTTTATAGTAGCATATGGTCAATGTTTTCGAGTTTCATTTGCTTACCTTTTCATGGTCCTTGTCCACATTCTGAGTTGGATAGTATCGAACCCCGCTGGTGACGTCCAGACGTTCACACAAGGCACTGTCTCCTTTAGGTGTGCAGTCCACACTTCCCACATTCACCAGTCCATCCAACATTGCCGCCAGTTTCCTCCTTAATTTTTGCAATCTTCCTGTCAAATTGAATACGTTTAATTGCCAGCCCAGCCTTCCTTATTCACCAAAGAGCTGACGGAATCCGCTCGAAAGGAATGTTCCGCTATAGTTTTTTCGCGGCGCTATCACAGGATATGGGGACGTTGTGGTGGCAATGCACTTATAACTGTGCGACAAATTTTCCTTGGCTAAAAATGAGACCAAGCATCAGGGGAGGGGAGACTCTTAGGTGCCTGATCAACTTCCATTCCCAAGATCCCTGCTCCCTTCTAGGCTTAGTCCCAAAGGTTGCCCCCGTATCTTGCGATAGCGCCATTTTTCGTTTTCGGTAGTTCTGACATCTGCTTCATTCGAACTCCACACTTCTCCTTTATTCAACCCAAAATATATTGACACCATACCTATTGACAGTAGACAGGCAAGAATCGCTTCTATCGCAGAAGTCGATGATCCATGGCCGAGAGTCGTACGGTTGCCATGTTGTCGTCAACGCTTCGATGTTGTCGGATGTCAGATGTAGCACCTGAAATTCAAGATTTCAACTAAACAACCAGGGAAATAAAATTCATAGAAAACAAGGCGTTTTGATGCGTTTATCCCTTTTATCCCTAGAGTTTGAAGACAAAGCTTTTTTGTGAAAATATTAGACACAAATTACTTCAATTCTTCACTTTTTTCGTATACTGGTTCTATTACTTGGAATTTAAGGCCATACCCACTAACAAAACCTGTCAGACATCATTATATACATATTACGTATGTGGACGGATTCAATTTCACCCTTCATCTTTACTATTTATTTCAGACCGGAATTTTGAAGCCACGGGTCGGGATTAGTTGCTAAGAGGAGGTAGTCCCTTCCTAAAACGGGAGAGAAGGGTCCTCAAGTCCAAGAGCCGCGGCTCTGCTGCGGCTCAAAATTGCGAGGCAACAGCGCTAAAGCCTTGCCTGTGCGCTGCCGACGCTGCCACTCAACAACGTGGCGTCGCGACTGCGACATGGCGACCACGGGCGCGGTACTACGTTCGTGTTTTCTCTTCCTCAGCAACGCTGTGTCTCCCGCCACAGGACGATCGACCTCACAAGGGGGATTTCAGTGTATTTCTAACAAGCACTTTTTTGCGGTTCTCTCACTCGCTGTCTTCATCGGAACTTCTCGGTCTAATGTTCAAGCGATAATAATACAGGATTCGGATTCCCGATCCGTGCCTTAGGCACTCACAACGGATGACCGCTGTAGAGGAGGGCCGGTATATTCCCGTACTGATATTCCCGTCACCCATACAATACAACTGTAAATGGATTGAACGACTCCTCAGATCGCTATCCTCTGTCGGCTTTCGAATCGGCCTTGTATGATAGCCGCGTAAGAAAAGAATGAATAGATCTCGCTGGTGCATGAAATTAAATTAATAACGGTGCCCAGGCACAAGACATGCGAACGGTACCCTTCGCTCTGTAGGATAAATCCCTTGAGGACAACCACAGATGTGGCACTTTCCTGCATGGAAACACCCGACAAGAGCGCTAGGGCCTTGCAAAGTTAGCTGCAGCAGCTGCAATGTTTTTACAGACTTGTCTGGCACCCTCTCATCTGTTGCGCTCTCTCGCCTCATACTCTCCTCTCCGCGCACAGTCTCTCATTGCTTAAGTTGAGCAAGACCTTACCCCAAGCATTTTCGACGAATTCGTTTCCTTTTTTCTTTATTGCCGGCCCATTTCGCCCCAGTACTTTCCTTATTTGTTTGCAAGAACCACACCATTTTCATCCTGGGGCACACCTTTAAGATGGACTGTATGGGGGAGGACAAGTGTATCATTATTCTGTTTTGCAACTTTACAAATCTTCGTGCGGCCGCCTGCCCATATCGAACTGTAGATACAAATTATACTATTTTCTTTAAAAACGACTCGAAAAACGCCCACCTCAGATGTCATTCGCTGCATTATAAATTCTTGTAACAGCTCGACATCACGTACTCCATTATAGAATTCTCCCTGAAATCAAGAATGAACAACTTTGGTACGAAAACCCGAAGTAAAATAAATGAAATAAGAATCAAGGAAAAAATGAACACTCGGGGTGGGGCGAAAAGGGGAAAAAGAACGTGAAATCCGACAGTTGGTGACTGTTAATAAGGGTTGTAAGGGTGCGGACCGACACGCAATTCGCAGCGAAGGATATGCCCCGGCGATCTAGCATGGCCTTCCCGCGGCGCTATCGACGCGGCACGCCCACTGACTGGCTAACCACTCGCCGCAGGTCTCTAGCCATTTAGCAGAGAGAGCGTTAGCGTTGAAGAGCACCGATGAGAGTCGCATCAATA